GAACGCGCCGGCGGATCTTCACCAAATTCGGGGGATCCCTTCAGTTCGAGGAGCCCTCTCGAATGCCACCCTCCGCGCGTCGGTAGCCCCCCGGGATCGCTAGATCGGTCGGCGCCGGACCGCGAATTTAACCACCCGCAACTCCCGAACCCCGGGGGCTATGCACATGGGGGTGGTCTCATTCGAAAGAGGGCCTCGAGACGTACAGTCGATTCGCGTTCGAGAGGGTTCCTCGAGCTGAAGAGATCCCCCGAATTTGGTGCGGATTCGCCGCGCAGTTACGGAGATATGGCCGTTCAAAGTTTCAATGGTTTTCCATAGACTTAAGCTTTAAAGCGTTTCATCCAGGTCGCCAGTAGCAAACAATGGAGCGCGCTCTGCTGGACAAACTAAGTAATTACACCATTTCAAGCATTTTATCTGCATTATATGTTCTGTAAAAAAAATGTTCATATCGGCGGCATATTCGCCGATACTGATATATCGGCGACAGGCTCATATCGGCCGATAATATCGGTAAAACGATATATCGGTCGGGCTCTACAATTTAATGTGTTCCTTCTGAATAAAAGTATACCTTTCTTAAAAAATGTGTATGGTATATTATTCTCTCTGTGTTTTTAGGACTCTGACATTTGGCCTTGTACTGCTGGTGATTCCATTCCTGCCAGCCAGTAATCTGTTCTTCAGGGTGGGTTTTGTGATAGCCGAGCGGGTGCTGTACCTCTCCTCAGCGGGCTACTGCCTCATACTGGCCTACGCTGTGGGCTACTGTAGCTGCCACTGGAAGAAACACAAGGTATGTGGCCTGTTCTACACCAATTTCCCACGTATCACCTCCTAATATTCACCATCAGACCATAATTCACTGTAACTAATGTTCTGTTGAGTTTGTGTTCACGTCTCGTGTCTGTGGGATGACCGCAGAGGCTGCTGAGAGTGACCACGTTGACGCTGCTGTGTGTGAACGTGGCTCGCTCTGCACAGCGCAGTCAACAGTGGAGGTCTGAACAGAGTCTCTTCGCCAGCGCCCTGTCTGTCTGCCCGCTCAATGCCAAGGTGAGACCGCACTCCTCCCCCCATCATGCTGCAATTTAACTCCACTCCATTCGTGAAATCCATTTCAGTAACTTCAGCTTACCCATCAACACACAAAATGCCTTGAGCAAGACTCTTAACATCAGGTTTCTCCAGAGGAACTGAACATGTAATAAGTGTACTTTGAGTCAGTTTGGATTTGAAGCATCAGCTAAATGACTAAATAAAAAATAACAGAAAAGCAAATAAAATATTTGTTCTCAATTGTTTTCAGTCCAGTTTTGCACACCAGTGACTTCATTAGCTTGATGAGCTCTCTAACTTTCTCCTTCCTTGCACAGGTGCATTATAACATTGGCAAAAACCTTGCTGACAGAGGCAACCAGAGTGCTGCAGTCAAGTACTACAGGGAGGCAGTGAGGTAAAAAAAAAAAATGATTCCGTCATATTCAGTTTGGCAATTTCTTCAGTCTTTCAGCACTTTAAGCAGTGTGATCTATTGTCTATTATGTGAAATATAAGTTAGGGTTCACTTTTTGTCTACATGTGTTACAGATTACACCCCAAGTATGTTCATGCCATGAACAATCTTGGCAACATATTAAAGGAAAGAAACGAGTTAAAGGAAGCTGAAGAGCTCCTGTCAGCTGCGGTTCATATCCAGTGAGTGAAGATTTTTAGTTCAAATTTATTGTGTGTAGTTGTGTAACCTTTATTCAGTTCTGCTGTGTTTTTTCGATTAGGCCTGATTTTGCTGCAGCTTGGATGAATTTGGGTATTGTGCAGAACAGTCTGAAAAAGTTTGACGAGGCTGAACAGAGCTATTGGAATGCAATTCGATTCAGGAAAAAATACCCAGACTGTTATTACAACTTGGGACGTCTGGTAAGTGCTGTGTTTTCTCTGTAATTTGCATAAAGCATTCAATACATTTAAAGCATATTTTCCTACTTATTACATTTCCCCCATATTCTAAACATCAATTTCAATAGTATTACAGCGTGGATTTTTAATATGTCTAGGGTGGTTTTGGTCTTGGGCTATTATGTTCATCCTTCCTGTGAGTACAAACCAACATGGTGCAATTTATTATTAATTATGGCAAGAAATTGGCTATTCCGCTCTAAATATTGCCCATTAGGATGTGTAATGACATGCTATTTTTGTGTTAATGAAGGTTTGATTTCTTTACTCCATGAATTATCAAAGCATTTTTATCAAAGATGTTCCATAGTGATTAATGCACTTGCTTCCCACATGTTTAGCCTTGTTGATTATGCAGAAAATGCAAGTTCGAATCTGCATCATTTCCCAGCCCTTCCTCTCCCATTTAAAGGGGTCATATGATGCGATTTAAATTTTTCCTTTCTCTTTGGAGTGTTACAAGCTCTTGGTGCATAAAGAAGATCTGTAAAGTTGCAAAGACTAAAGTCTCAAATCCAAAGAGATATTTTACAACACTGTTCCAGAACAGTTCAACCCAAATATTCAGATGTGTGCTGCGCATTTTATGGAGGATGAGGACTGTTTCCTGAACCTGCAGACTAGCCTACAATGCGTCTGTGCTCAAAGGCTGTTTCTATAAAGTGGGGCAGTTCCAACTTTGGAAGTGTCTGGCGCTTCTGACTCACAGCCTGTAAGTATGTTTTTTATATTTAAATAATTTGTGAGTTTTGAGCAGTGTAGAGTAGGCTTGTTGTTTGTTGTTTCAACGATCACAAATGCAGACATGGTTTTATTTTTACGCAGCGCGATACGCAACTCGACGCGTAAAAAGACCGTATAAGTCATTATAATCAGTAATTATGTCCCCACTGGATGCAACAAATGCCTCGTTTGTAATTGGTTTTATTGGTTTTGTCTCGTCTAGTGATGTCCGGATCGCGAACAAATCGTTCTATTTAAGCGGATCTTCTTAGTGAACCGGTCGAACAAGTTCACCAAATCGAACTGAATCGTTTGAAACGGTTCGCGTCTCCAGTACGCACTAATCCACAAATTACTTAAGTTATTCGGTTTATAAACGTGCCTGACACTCCCTCTGACACGAAATAAACCAATATCCCGAGTTATTCAGTTACTCCCAACAGTACATTGTCTGAACTGCTAAAAGAGAACCGATGATGGGATGTGCACGAGCAGAGCAGCTGGACTGAGTCTCATCCTGCTGGGAGACGGCATCACAGTATGTTAAGGGGCGTAACATTTCCGTCACACGCTTGAGGCATTCGGCCAATCACAACGCACTGGATAGCTGGCCAATCAGAGCACACCTCGCTTTTTTAGAACGATGAGCTTTGTAAAAATCGACGCGTATATGGAAAATAATGTGTTTTTTTAACCTTAAACTGCATAAACACATTGCATTACAGCAAATACACCAAATAATGTTCTTTTTAGCAACGTCATATGACCCCTTTAAAAGAATAAAATTATTAAAAAAATGGAATTGTAAGGCATGAGAATTGTTTTTTGTTTTTTTTGGAGAATCTTTGTCCTTGACACACACTGGCCCATTGTTTATGATTGGTGCTTGTTTGTTTTATCTCCAGTATGCAGACCTGAACCGCAGCATTGACGCGCTGAACGCCTGGAGGAATGCCACCATGCTAAAGCCTGACCACAGCCTGGCGTGGAACAACATGGTCATATTGTTGGACAACACTGGTAAGGTGTAAATGGAGAGTGATTTATTAAAAGGCTAGTGCATACTGTCACAAATAGTGTAAAATTAGTGTACTTACAGCTGATATACTTCTCTTATTAGATGCCATCTGAAATACTTGAATCTGATTGGCTAGTTGCTGCATTCCATGGTCAATTATTTATATAATGACCACTAAATGTTATAATTAGCCATTGTCCTAGGCTCCCTTTTCCTACATGGCTACATATTATCTCGCTTAACATATAATAAAAAATAATTTCAACTGAATTCAATATTTCATGTTCATTTGCTTTTATATGGTATAATAAGCAAAATAATGTGGTATAATAAGCAGAATAATGTACAGTTAGCTGACTATGCATATATCACACTTTAGCAATGCAGTATAGATCTGTATTGTTACGTTCAGACAGGGGCAGTCATGTATGCTTAAACTGAGTGAGTGTTCTCATTAAACGTGACCTTGACCCTGCCCTTGGGGGTAAACAGATGATCTTGGCCTCCTCCCAAATCTTCCCGCCTTGTCGTTTTCATCTGGTGTCCCAAGTATAGCCACGGCTCATAGCTGTGTGTGAGATGGAGGGAGAGAGAGGTGTGAACTTCCATTCTGCAGATGCTGAGCGTCAGGTGCACGCTGCCACATGGGGCCATGCTGCATAATTAGTTCACCCTTTACAACAATTAACTCCTGCACCCCATCTTCACCCCCTTATCTCGTCAGAGACCCTACAAGGATGGATAACTGAGCTATTTGTTAAATTATCAAATTACCTTTTAATACTTTTTCTTTGCATGATATAAAGAGCACATACTACAATATAGTTCAGAAAGTATAACATACTTGGTGATATAACATAAAGATCTGTTTTAAAATACGTTTTTATATTTGAAAAATGTCACAAAACATTTTTGGAACATTTGTGAACATTTTTGGGTGATGCAAATGAACCATAGAATCAGTGTTTTCTGCATTTTGAGTCATGAATGTCTAATGTCTGCCTTTGGAAAAATTTACGGAATTAATAATTAAGAAATACACTAAAATCACTGTTATTTACAATGTTGTTTGATTTGTATCACTGGCAAGCTAATTGCACATATATTACAAACATTTATCGCAAATTGTATATATATCGCAAATTTTTCTTGCCCAGCCCTATAAAAAGTTTAATTTTTAAAACTTTGGTTAAACATACTTAGGTCAGTAAACCATACTGTTATGCATCTATTTCTAGCTTGTGTTTTTATGATGATGATGAGAAACATTTTTTCAAAAGTTTCCATTCTGATGAGATGTTACAAGATTAATAGAGGATGTCCTTTCCGGGAAATGCCGGCATAAGAACCCAACATGATTAGACCGGAAGAGCAAGAATCAGCAATGCTTGAAATTTATGTATTAAAAGCCTTGTGTGTTGTTTTAAAGCCACTCTTCCCTGCCGTGTGGAGAATGGCGCGATTCCCTGACAGAAGCCGTTTATTCAAACGCATCTCCCAGGCAGGTTGGCCCTCCCTGGAGAGTCTTGGCACGGTCCATTTTCTTTGCCAAAAAAAAAACACTCTGGCACCAGCATCATCTCCCTCTGCATTTTCCAGCCTCACTTGATCCCAAAAATAAGTAAATGATTGCAAAAAGCGAATTGGAGATGCTTTCTACTGCTGTTCTTTCCCTATAATATTAAACTGAAAACGCATCAAGAAAGTGTGCAAACATAAAACATGAGTCATGTTTAGGTTTCAACGGTGAGGAAGAATCCTCAGCAGCTCATGAATTTGTTAAGGGCCAGCCGGTGAGAGAAGATCTATCTGAGTCTGTGGTCAGAGGGAGTTTTGACATCCAGATCAATAAGTCAGTAGCCCTTGTGCTGCCCTCTAATTAGGAAACTAAAAGAATCAGCCATGTGTGGAGTTGAAAAACTCTCTTCTGGAGGCTGCTGACACACCAGAGCAATCCGCTCTGCACAGTCAACAGAAATTACAGAATGACAACAATACGGTTGTCCTTTTGTGACATTTAGAATGATTCATAAAAATGTAAACAATTTGCTCCTTCACAGTTCTTTGTAGGTTTTTTGGTTGTTGTTTTATAATTGGCTAATTTGAATGATGGAAGTGGTCTGGCACACAACAAACACGCTTCTTCTGTGCAAGAGACCTAGCTCTAAGAGTCTGGTACTGAATGCTAGTTAAATGTTCTTTTTACATTTGTCCTATGGAGCTACTTAGGTGTTTTGTGTGATTTTAGCACATTGCTGGGGTTCTCGGTGGTTGCTTGGTGTTTGTTAGGATATTCTGAGTGGATGCTAGGTGGTTACTTGCAGGCTTAAGTCAAGAGTCCACCCCCAAGTCACTATGATATTCTGGTCCTTAGATATCGCTTGGGTTCCTCCTTCAGTGTAATAGACTCTATGCATGAACGCTTCTGCATTAGCCTTATTGGCCATCTCAACTTCCAGTGCAGTGTAGGAAATTGTGAGAAAATGAAACCTTGAGGAAGTGCCCTTCTATAGGACAAAGCAATATTAATATTCAAGTTTATGGAATTTGTTAAGAAATGTTAATTATGTTTTAATATAATATACTAAAATTGTACTACTGTTAATATATATGATATTCTATACTATAATATAGTCTAATTTATTCTGTTTGACAGTTATTAGACAGAAAGAGTTTACTATGGGAAAATACTACACCTGAAGCTTGTGCAGTACTAAGATTTCAATAGAAAAATGTAGGCAGTAGACAAATATAGAGCCAATTCTGCCAAGAATCATTAAGTCTAAATTCTTTAAAAAAAGTAAAAGCCCAGCTGTTTGAGTTATCATTCATAACCTAATGAGCAACAGTAATATTTTGTGTCTTAGCAAGGTAACGGTTCATGTTATATTTCATTACAGGTAATCTGGCTCAGGCTGAGCTGATTGGAAAGGAAGCATTAAAGATATTGCCAAAAGATCACACCATCATGTTCTCCCTCGCCAATGTCCTTGGGAAACAGGAAAAGTACAAGGTTAATACAAACTTTTTTTTTTTTCCCTTGTAGTGCTTCTTTTCTGTGAAAATGTTACTCAAACTATTTCTTTGATACAGCAGGAACTTTATAATAACCAATGTTCCCTTTTCTCTCAGGAGTCGGAAGGATTCTTTCTTAACGCTCTGAAGATCAACCCAAACATTGCCAGTTGCCATGGTAATCTTGGTAAGTCTCCCAGAATCCCGCTGACACTTCAGTATTGTCACAGAAAACAGTTGTGCAAGTTTTGACTCCTGCAATGTTACACGATACAGGCATAAATCGATGCGACTGAATCAATAAACAAAGCGAAGTGGCTATGATTCTTCTCCCATTAACTGGGGACCAATGCTGAGTTACTGTACAGTCCCTTGATTTAAGTGACGGGTCTTTTTTTGTGCTCTTGCAGCTGTTCTTTATCACCGTTGGGGAAAACTAGACTTAGCAAAGCGGCACTATGAACTGTCTCTTCGACTGGATCCCAGCGCTCCAGGGACCAAGGAAAACTACAACATGCTAAAACGCAAACTGGAACAGCGGCAAAGGGCTGTTGGATAACACTGTTTTTGATAACTGCATGCCACACAAGTCTTTGTACGGTCTCTACATATCTAAATAAATTAATTCATCTGATTATTTTTCACTTTTGTTCTTTATGAATGCCTACAGATGCTGTAGATGCACACAGTACTTCCATTCTGGCCACATTATAGTCTTTTAAGGTCAAGACTGTGGTTTCTTAACCGGCTCAAATGAGTTTGTGACATGTAACTGTAGTCTCAAGACATATGGAACATATCCACTATCTTGACTTTCATCTTTGACCTCATGTTATGTCAGCTGGGCCTCTGTTTATTAGTCTGTTACACTTTGTAATTGCAAAGTATGTTACTCTTGGCCATCCACCAAGAACGTACCCCACTGTGGACATCGCAACAAATTGCATTTTAAAATGTTGAGTGCTCTTGAGTCACACACACCATAGGCCAGTGGTTTTTGTTACAGTGTTTGTTTACATGCCTTCCGCGATATCTAACATGCGTGTCTTGAGGACCGGATCGTGGCCTTTCGTTCCTCCGAGTTCTCTGTAGTTAATGTCGGAAAGGTGTTTTGCGAGTCTGTGTTCTGATGTGCCGAGGCCGGGGCCGTAGGGTCAGCCCAAGTAGGAAGCCAGCAGTCATGACAGCAAGGAAAACAGTGAAGCTCAGAATAGGGGCTTCAAAGGAGGTGGAACGCAGTCCCTAGGGGCATCTCACACATGCTGGCTGCTCTTGAAAGTTAGTGGGCTGAGCGAGGGCTGACCTCGAGACACAACTTCAGTCAACAAGTCTCCTTCTTAGTTTAAAGTGCACCGTGCTTCTATTTTTTTCACCTGCTTCCTCCAGCCAACGGGACACTTTTGAAGAACCAGGATCGCAAAGACGGTGCTAAGATGACAGGGTTGTTGGTTCTAACGATACCATCCTCAGATCTGAAATATCAGCCTGCAGTTGTTATATATAGATTAAGGTATTAATCGCTTTTTTGGAACAACAAAAACACTTGAATTAATGCGTAACCACTGTCTGTCTGTATTTTCATGCCATTCCTACTTCTACTTCCCTTCACACTGCTGAAATTGAACCAGCATGGGTGGACTGGTGTCTTTCCATCTTTGCTTGAATTTCATACATGTACCAGTAATATTTTCATAGTGTTGCATAGAAGGATTACTGTGTCCACTTTTGTTTTTGCACATTATTGAGTTTAAAAGTGTGTGCAATGCATTGGACCTCTGCATAGCCTCTGAAAAAGTGAACAGTTGTACTAAAATTCATGGATAGGTCAAGTGGTAGAAGAATACAGCAAGTTAAAAACAACAACAAAAACCCTGAACTATATGTGAAAGCCGTATGGAGAATGCATTTGACCATTGTTGGAGCATGGAGGTTAGATAAAGAATGATCAGAGCTGGTATTCCTGGGACACAGGAAGCTGTATAGTACTGATTTGATTGAATATATGACATTACGTGAATTGTAATTATAAAATTGACTTGCTGAAGAGTCAGTTGTTAAAAAGTGTCAGGGAACATCTACCTGTCAAGATTTCCTTAAAACTGAGGGTCACTTTAGCGTAATCAAGACAGAACCAGTAGAATTTTTTTAAACGTAATTTTATTTGGCTAATTGTTTTGATTAGAACTTGAAATACTTGATTCGTATTGGTCAATCGCAACATGGTTAAATACTTTTGTATAGTACAATGACCTTTCCTGTCACCAATTTCTTACAATGCACTAGTTTGACATCTCTTGTAACACTTTTTTTTTTCCCCGGCAAGATTTAGATATGATTTTTAAAAAAAAATTTCCAAACAAGACTTATGCTCACCAAGACTGCAAAAATACTGTAAAACAGATATACTTTGGAATATTATTACAATTTTACATAACTATTTTCTATTCTAATATTTTTTTAACATATTACATGATCCTTCATAAATCATTCTAATTTGCTCATGATCATTTCAAATTATTATTGTTGAAAATTATTAATATTTTTGTGGAAACATGATACATTTTCATTTTTTAAAACAATTTTATCAGAATTTATTTGAAATAATTCCCTAAAAATGGTAATTTCTTTACAGTCAATTTTGATTATCTTAATGTGTCCTTGATATAATAACTGCATTTCTTTAAAAAATATCATACTGACTACATTTTTTTGAACAGTAGTGTATTTGGTCATTTGCAATGTATTAAGCAATATTATAAGACCGTTTTGATTTATGTAGATTTGTAAGTAGTGTCCATTTTTGGTGTTTGTAATGTAATGAATGTAAGTTTCAGATAAAAGATCTAGAGCAGAACAGTAGATTCAATTTGATCTAGCAAGGAACTTACGAAGCATGCTAAATTTAACCTCATCTCACAAGCATGTTGCTATAGGAATATCACAGCATGACAATTCATTCATTCATTCATTCATTGTTGATTGCGATGGTACTAGTATAATTTGAGAGGACTAAATGAGGAAGAAATTAGATAAATATGTATAAAATGAAACATCTTCCACTTTTTGATGATCTCTAACCATTATGAACCAATTTCTGTTGTGACCCCGGCTCTCTAGTTCAAACCACTAACAATTAAGCCTCACTGTTTCCACACCAGCAGTTCTAGGAATTGTCTGCGATTCTTTGAATCCAAGAGCTGGTGGAATCTGTTTTAAGTGAAAACAAGGGAAATCTTTTTTTTTTTTTTAAACAGTCAGTGACCTGAGGTTTATTTAAGCTTCAGCACTATGGCTAGATCGCAGTGCAACACTTGACACGTGCCGCTTTGTGAACGTTATTAGCTGCTTGGCCCCACAGTATGTTTAGATGAACAAGCCCTGAATCACATTTTACAGCTCAGAGCTCCTCTGACAGACTGCTAATCAATCTGACGGGATGTTGTCAATGTTGCTCTTCTAAAATGCTCCCTGGCCCACCCTGCAGTCCTTTAAACAAAACTAATGGGTTGTGATGTCGGCTCTCCGACTTCCAGTCTAATTGATGTACATTTTGCAGATCTTCCCAGAACGGTAGCCTCCATCCGGCATGGTACATCCGCTCCTTTGACACCGGGTCAGGATTCACGCACACGTGTGATTATTAGGATGGCACTCATTAGGGAGCATCTTGCCTGACACTGTCGTCGCCCCGCTCTGAGGAGCACTCCGCGAATTACTGCGATACACTCGCCGGCATTTTAAAAAGGACTGATTGTCACACGCGATACCGCCACCACCAGTCCCCGCGTCCACCTCTGCCCTACTGTGATTAATTGTTCGTGATGGGCAAGTAGAGGCCATTGATGCCAGCTGCTGGTCTGGGTTTGCTGAATTAATATCATGGACATTTTCTGCCAACCCTGCCCTGTCATTCACAAGTCCTTGAGACATGAAACAAGTTTAGACGTATACGTGGGAGCATTTTTTGTATTTCATCTTTATCTCTGATTATATTATTTATTTGATTTGGTTTTAAAACCCATTCATTTTAATTGAATTTAAAATTAATTAAATTTAAAAGCAAAAAATCTGTTTCAAATATGCCAAGTTCATAGAAATGTAGTCTTTGTATTATTTTAGGTTTCATATTCTTATGAAAGAAAGAAAAAAAACTATTTAAAATTGATGTGTAACCATCAAGTATAAGTAATAAAATATTTGATTTTAAAATATATAAATATAATATTTTCCTTATACCTTGAACATGTGACTGTACACATATCTTCATATTTAAAAAAAATATATATATTTTTCAAAGGTAAAAATATTTAACAATATCATGAATTATGAATTTTTAAGTACCACGATATTACTTAAAGCCTTGCATTGACATAAAAAAGGTTAAAGTGTCTGATACTTTGAGAAACGCACTGACCTTGGCATGAAGTCATGAGGGTCTACAGGGGTCCTCTATAGACCTTCTTTGCTGCATATATGGCTCACATGACTTACTGTAAGTAGATTTGTTAAAATGCCCCCCCCCCCGAAAAATAATAATAAAACATGCCAAACTACTAAATAGTTTAATGAGGCTTTTTCATTATGATATTATTCATAACAGACATCAGACCCCCAAAAAATATTACAATGAATTGTAATATAGAAATTAAAAACATTCTCATTATGGACAAGTTATACTCAAGTAACTATAAATGAATAGCATTTTTATGTATTTCTGAATATATTAACAGCTAGGACAAAAAAAGTGTCACCTTGATGTAGAAGATAACTTTCTGTAGCCCGGTTGTTTAAAATAAAGAGAGTGTTCTTTTCCTTAGGGAGACAAATGGAGAAACCTTTTTTTTTTTAAGGGAGCCCTCTTAGCTGTTTTGCACAACAAAATGAGATGCTCTGGATCTTATTGAAAAAAAAGGTGCACTGAGATGGAAATGTATTAACTGGCACCAGTTAATGTGTGCATTATTCATTTCTGGAAAGCATGAAAAATGATTTAAAGAGGTTTGAAATTGCAGCTGCAAAGGCTGACTGCACCAAGCCAAACTTGTTCATTTGATCCTTTAGCGGTGCAGAAGGGTGTGAGCTGCTCTCTGGACAGGGTTTACAGTAACAGCTGTGCTCCTCTCATAAGGGGGCGGCCACTCGGCCGGGCGGTGGGCCACTCCGAACAGATGGAAAAATACATCAGAGCTCTCTCACTGTTATTAAAAACACAATATCCTCTGCTTTTTAGGGTTTAAGGCGGGTGGGGGTGAATAGGGCGGGACGGGATCGAATGGAATGGCTGTTGGGTAATTTCTTATCATCTGCTTTTTCAGAAATAAGAGAAGAAAAAACGGAGACTCTGTATTTGTCTCATGTCAGTTGCGAGGGGCTTCTTGCGTTCTTTGTGTCTGTGTGTTTTTCTTGGGCTCTCACTCAGCACCACCCCTCTTTAGCTCAGCGAGGGCAGCGAGGAGGAAACGGTGCCAGTGGCATATGGCTTGCCACTGCGCTAAACATCCATACTACAGATAGGTCCATCAGTCACAGCTCTGGCCTTGTGAGAGGCAAGTATGGGTGCCTGATAGATGGTGTTTAGAGCTTACCTGCTGTTACGACATCACCACTGAAACACTGGGCTCCCCCCAAAAGCCC